CTATTAATTTTATGTTCCACTATCCCCAAATAGGAAAAACATTGACATTTAGATATACAATTAGTGATGGAGCCACACAGAAACTGGGAGCAGTTCATGGACTACAGATTGTTATATGCAAATAAATACAGATTTAACTGCTAGCCAGCTGGGATTAATGACTATTGTACACTTAGTAATTAGTACTACTGTGCTGATTATTAACTTGTCTGTAGATCTGGTTCATTGATCACAGCTGAGCATACTGCTGATGTTTTGCCAATTGCATGTCTATATTTGGTTTTTCTGTTTTTCAGGCCATCTCCTTTCTGACAGGATTCGTCATTAGACTTCCTTCCTTTTTTCATGCGTGATGAAACCATAAGGGACAGTTATAAAATACTGCTTTCAGATACCAGCATTTTGCATTCCTTGATACATTGGGATATCATTTAAATTCTGGAAACCTTTTGGAAAAAATGTATTTTCTAAAACTAGCTAATAACACCATTTGTTTTTGGAGTAGTACCATAAAATTATATATCAATGGAAAGATAATTTAATCAAGAATGTAATGCAATAACTTTTATGAAGAATTTGCAGTTATAGTATAAAGAAGAAAAATGAAACACATAGAAAAAACAAGATATACAAAAATTATCACCATGTCAGTTAATAGTTGGGTAACCTTTAACATGAATTATGGCCTTACAATGTCTTCCCATGGAGTAAACCAAGTCTTTTAGTTCTGCAGCTGTTGTAATGTGAAACCAAGATTGAATTATTGCTTCTATTAACTGGGTTTTATTGCTGGGTTGCTTCTGTCTAACAAGTTTCTTTAGTCTGCTCCATAGATTTTCAATTGGGTTAAGGTCTGGGCTATTCCCAGACCTTAACCCAAAAAAGTGGTGTTATTAGCCATCAAACCTCAAAAATACACTTTTCCCAAAAGGTTTCCACCATTTTGGCCATTACTGTATTCTACTTCTTTGCTAGCATTATCAAGAAAATGAATAGTAGGCAAATGGCTGAAGCCACTACATTTTATTTACATTTATAAACAGTTACCTATCTTAATGGTAATAACAAAGGGCATTGTCAAGTAATAGAAATACCTAAAAAGAAATCTTGTAATTATATGTTAAATATGTATCCTTTGGCTAGTTTTTATGCTGCTTGTCTGAACTCTGTACCAATGGACATTTCTCCAGTTCTGACAAAAAATTACCAAATAAAATTTATGTTTGAAGTAGTTTTTTTAAAAGGAGCAAGAGTAAAATGCTGATTTCTTGTCCATATACTGTAGATGAGGCAATATGAGCATTGGCTTTATAAAGTTATATCTCACTGTTACTAAGTCTAACTGCCTTAGTTTTTAGGTTTCTTTCTTTTTTAAAACAAAGAATAGGTTGTGATCATTGACATCCAGAAAAATAATAGAATGAAGATAATTTCTAAAAAACTGTTAGATGCTTTATTTTGCTTTATTTTACTTTTTAAATCTATGGGCCTGATAACATACCATTACAGCATTTTTCAGACAGTTTTTGATATGAAAATTTCAACTCTAAGTAGTTCAAATATCCATAAAAGATTAAACATTGCATTAATTTTAAATGATACTTTCTTCAACATAGTATTGGCCTTTTCTAATTGAGAACAGATGTTTAGATACTGGCACCACCCCTGACATTCAATAAGAGGAAAATGCAAGATGTAACAACTGCATTGATTTCTGTTCCTTTGTTTCTTGCTGCAGGGCTACACCTGCAAAGACAACGGTCCCATTTTTGTTGTTGAGCAACCAATTTTAGGTACAATCCACAACTATTTATTACATCAGAATAAAACACTCCCTTCGTGAAACATGCCAGTAAATTTTTACTGTGCCATAAAACATTTTGTCCCAATTATTGCTTTTTCCCTCTGAGCAGTTTAACAGGAAAGTCAGGAAAATTAATGTGTTGTTAAACCAACTACTACTCGTTATCATAGTAATTTGAATTTACGGACAGATCTTAAATATGGTATTAATGATAACTATGCAACCTGTTATACATTTGGTCATCATTTCAGAGATATTTTTTTACCTAAACAGAGAAACAATGACAATAGGGTGGATTTAAAAAATTAGAAAAAAACAGTGGGAGTGGGAGTGACTTCCTGTCATCTTTCCCATTGAGTTTCCTTGTGAGAAACTGGCAGTAAGTACTGGAAATCTTCCTTTCCTTTCCCTGCCCTGCCCTGCCCTACCAGCAGGTAAATGGCTGCTGCCAGGTGGGAGAAGGAGCAAGGGAGTGCAGAAATGGATGGCTCAGTATGAGTGCAGAGGGCCTGGACCATTTCTCTCTTGATTTTGTCCCTGCAAGCTTCCCACAAGCAACAACTTTGGCAAGAAGTGTAGGAGAATTGGCAATCATAACCGTTCCTTCTGCATTCTCCGTGGCTTGTCGGAGGCTGTAAGGAAACATTGAAAATGGGGATTTACATGAATGCAGTTGATCCTGGTAGAATGGCAGCAGTGCTGAGGTGGCAAATAATTCCACAAATTTCAATTCCTCAGGAGTAATGAGTCTCAGGCATTCTGTAAATTGGTCCATTTGAGCTAACTTGGCCTTTGTTGGCAAAGTTTTGCTCTATATTGCAACATTTGCCCAGGTGAAGGTTACAAAGTATGAAACAGAGTTTTACCAATATACAGATAAAATCACTGTTATGTCAGCAATTGTCTTTCTAGGTTTTCCCACTTTATTGAAATTTTCAATTCATGCATAAATTTGAATTTTGCACCTAACCACTCAGGAACCAATCTATTCTTTTATGAAATACTTGGAACTTTTATAAAACGCTTACTTTTTACATCTTATCTCTCTTAGTCCCAGTAAAAACAAAGCTCTCCATATATATATATTATTGGGTTTACAAGAACAAGGCCACCCAAGAAAGAATAACCTTATTACGAAAGTGAAAAGCACCATATAGAAACATAGAAGATACAAACAGTTCTATGATTAAGACAAACAGGAACAAACTGATGCAAAAGGGACGGGTATTAAAGATTGCAACAAAGAATTCTTGACAGAATATTGCAGAAGATAAACAGTTACCCATCCTACTTCTCCATTTTGTTTGTTACATAATTATAGAAACTAACCAATTACAGTTTTTCTGTTAGATAGATCACTGACCCACTTCCCACTAAATAGGGAAAAAGGTATTTTCTACAATACTATCTTGGTACGGTTTCTTTTGATTGCTTAACATCTGTCTAGATGTTCTTAGCTCTATGTCAGCATGTAGCATATTTATAGATTTGAATACAGCATATGTGTAAAATACATTTCTCATCAGGTGCATTGTTGATAAATAGGATCACCATATTGGGGCTGAGGAAATCAGTAGATGGCAGGAAGGAGAAATGAACAGCTTTTCCCTTTGCTGCTGTCTAGTACAAGTAGCCTTTGACAGATGACAACAATTGAGCCCAAAAGTTCCCTTGCTAAGCAAGACAGTCGTGAATTTTGCCCCATTTTACGACCTTTCTTGCCATAGTAATTAAGCAAATCACTGCTGTTGTTAAGTTAGTAACATGGTTGTTCAGTGAATCTGGCTTCCCCATTGACTTTATTTGTCAGAAGGTCACAAAAGTTGATCACATGACCCCCGGGACACTGCAATCATCATAAATAGGAGTCAGTAGCGAAGTCAGTCTGAATTTTAATCAAATGACACGTTACGCACGGTCACTCATGCCCTCGTCACCTCCCGTCTGGACTATTGTAACGCTCTCTACATGGGGCTCCCCTTGAGGAGCACTCGGAGGCTCCAACTGGCGCAGAGTGCGGCCGCGCGGGTGGTGATGGGAGCGACGTGGCGCTCCCATGTAACGCCTCTCCTGCGCGAGCTGCACTGGCTCCCGGTGGTCTTCCGAGTGCGCTTCAAGGTTTTGGTCATCACCTTTAGAGCGCTCCATGGCTTAGGACCTGGTTATCTACGGGACCGCCTGCTACCACCAATAGCCTCCCACCGACCAGTACGCTCCCATAGAGAGGGGCTCCTCCGGGTGCCGTCGGCCAAACAATGTCGACTGGCGGCCCCCAGGGGGAGAGCCTTCTCTGTGGGGGCACCTACTATCTGGAACGAGCTCCCCCCCCCGAGATACGGAGGATTCCGGATCTGCGTACCTTCCGTCGCACGCTGAAGACGTTCCTATTCCAGCAAGCCGGCCTGACCTAAACTTCTCCTCTTTTAAATGGGAATTTTAAATTTGGTTTTAAATTATTGGGGTTTTAAATATGGTTCAGCCAAATTTATCTAACTTGTTTTATTTCTATTTTAAATTTTGTATTGATATGTTTTATTTCATGGCTGTTCACCGCCCTGAGTCCTTCGGGAGTAGGGCGGTATACAAATCTAATAAATAAACAAACAAACAAACAAACAAACATGACCATGGGGCTACTGCAGTGATTGTCAGTGTGAAAAAGGATTATAAGTCACTTTTTTCAGCGCCATTGTAACTTTGAACAGTCACTAAATGAACTGTTGTAAGTCAAAGACTACCTGTAGTTATGCAGACTTTGTAGCCCAAGAATAATAGCCCTTTGTTAGGTAATTAGACATTGTTCTCATATTCCTAGATAGGCATCATATTTTCAGTTTCCTGACTATTAACATAGTAAGAATTTGAATTCTTTATTAGCCAAGTGTGATTGGACACACAAGGAATTATTTGTGTGCATTCTTTCTTGGGGAAGAGCAACAGAAATCTACCTGAAACAAATTCTTGCCAGGCATTGGTTTGGCAGAATGGTTATGAAGGTGGAAGGGAGGGGAATGGTGACCATTAAGTTTGATGCAAACAGACTGACCCTGTTTCGACATGCTAGGAATATTAAGAAAACTTTTGTCCTGAGGAAATAGGTTACCTGTATAAGTCTAACCAAAAATCTTTATGAAGGTTAATTTTCTTATTGCTGTGAGTCATCACTGATGGAAGGCACATTCACACACATGCTACATAAGTCTCTATATATATCTTTATAATCTTTTTATACATATCCTCAGGTTGTACATGGAAAAGTAACTTCTCTTTAGAATCTTTCTTGATCTGTAATACGCCTTTGAAACTTTCTCCAGTACTTTGCATAGATTTTAAAAAGTTTATTTGCAGCAGAATAATAGCACCCTGTGATCTTCTGAAAGCATTTTATCTGTACATCCACTTCTCATTTAGCGACTATGTTCCATTCTAGTGATCAAGTCATTAAACGAAATGATCACTAAGTGAACACATGATAGAGAAATCACCTATTGCTGTTGTTTCATTCAGATAAAGTTTTGTTGCACAGCTAAGCCAGTGTTACTGTCACTGGCATGTGTTGTCAGGAGCACAAAATTTGATTGTAAATGCATGCGTTGGTCAGAAAATGAATTTTATTACCTTTTTATTTGTGAATAGCTGCTAACTGAGGTCACTAAATGAGGAGTGGGTGTATTTCCTTCTTGCAAAAGAAAATGTTGATACTTGAAGTTGAAATGTTCTACACTTTTTAAAATAATGTTTGATTTTGTTTATCTCTTATGAGATTGGCCTGATTTCCCTCCCCCCCCACATCTAAATGCTACCACATCTAAATGCTAAACCTTCTAGCCACACACCTTTTCATTGTTAAACTAGAAAGCAGTACTATTCAAATTATTTCATCCATTTACATTTTAACCTTTTTAAAATTATTTTTATCTTTTAATAGACAGAAAGGTGGTAGAGGTTGTAAAATCCTTACATTTCTTGTTTGGGAAAGGATACAAAGTGAAGCACTCACAATGGCAGAAATTGCAAGGCACTGCCTCAAGAGAGTGCCCATTTGTGAAAACCCAGAGGGCTGCTGTGAGAGGAGGTTTGAGACTTTCAGCCTTCCCTCCTAGAGGTTCAGCTGCTTTTGTTACATATGACCTTTAAACTATGTAGGTTATGTATCTTAAAATTATCATGGAATAATCAAACCAAACATAGGATCCAGTGTTCAATAAGTTATTTAAATGCTTGGGGATTGTTTTCTAACAATATAGTAAATTGCCTAAAGCTATCTATATACCTCCTCCTGAGAAACAAAACTGTTTATAATTAAATGATTTTATATGGATTGTTATATAAATAAATGTATTTCATATATAGATATGAAAAAGAAAATGTTAAATATTCCCTTTTGCATATCTGTCACGTGTTATTTTGCCAATCCAAGGTATATTGTTTAGAGTCCAGTTATTTAAACCCATTAAACTGGTTGCTTTTCTCCTGAGAACTTGGGTAATAGGATCCCAAAATAGAGGTACACTGACATGAGAGAAAGATAAAAAAAAGTAATATTTGGAAAACCCCAAATATTATTAAATCAAGTATCTGTGGTAATGATATGTTGCATAAGCCATCCTCCGCTTCACTCCTGAAAAATCAAGTGGCTACTTCTTTTTAAAAAAATGTACAATTGGATTTTTCTCTCTTCTTTCTTTGCCTGTCTTGCTGTGATGATTCTTGCTATTTCCAGCATTTTTGAAATCAAGATTCTGGAGGCATGTTCAAAATGAAAGGGCTTGTGTTAACCTTTTTCCATTTAAAGTTGCTGAAAGGGGCGCTAGTTGTGTGTCTGCAGCATCCCGGGAGCTTTCATCGGGAGCAGTTCTGGCAGCACTTGATTCTGAAATGCTTCCTTGACGCCTCAGTATTTTCATTATTGTCCTTTTGTATCCTCTGCAAGCAAAGAAATAGATGAAAGGATCCATGCAGCAATTTAAGTTCATCAGGAACACAGTATAATGGAGCGTCTTTTGAAAGATCTTCTGATTGCTGCAGGGAATATTTCCTTGCACGAGCTTCTTAATCATGTATATAATAATGGCAAGATGATAGGGAGTAAGGCAGATTACAAATACAACGATGATGAAGATAATTATATTAATTGCCTTTTTGTTTGTTCCTGATTTTTCTGCTAATGGGTTTTGCTTTGCATTTTGACAGAGTTTGTAACTGATTTTTGAATAACAGATTATTGTAATTCCAAGGGGAACTACATATCCAAGTAAACAGGCACCTAGAAGCATCAGAGGGAGTTGTTTAATTTTTTCAAAGTTTGGATATTCCATGCACGTGGTCCTTTTTTCTTCTTCATGTGACATGGGTAGTGTAAGCAGTGGGAGAGTTTGGGCAAGTACAAGACACCACACAAAGCAAAAAATATATGTGGCACTTTTAACTGTTCTGAACTTGGTTTTTAAAGGATGAACCACAGCTACAAATCTATCGATGCTCAAGCATGTCATAAAATTCACAGCTGCATAAATGTTGATATAAAAGAAAAGGGCTGTAATTTTACAGAGTACCTCTCCAAACGGCCAGTGAAAACCCAGGGCATAGTATGCTATTCTGGTAGGTAAAGCTGTTGTAAAAAGAATGTCTGACACAACAAGATTTGTTGAGTAAATAGTGGTTGAATTGATTTTTTTCCTATTTTTTACAATCACAGCGAGAGCAAGTCCATTTCCAAGTACGCCAATTATGAAAATAACACTGTAGAAAGTAGGCAATAAAATTCTTGCTGAATCTTCATGTTCATATAAATCACAAGTTTCGATTTGAGTTTGATTTGTTACAGAAGATGGAGAGATTGTTGCCATGGTTAATATGACTCAGAGTTCAGAAGGCCTAGAAAACGTGACAGAAGAAACAGAAAAATGTTAAGGTGAATTCATATGTTCCTTTTTTTTAAATAGCTAGCTAAGCATTTTAGAAGTCCAGAAATTAGATAGTATGAAATTGTCTGTTCATTTCAAAAACAAAATAAAATTCCATCTTGTTAATATGCAAATGATTTTTTGATTGAACCCTAGTAGGTAATCATACGTAATTTTTAAAAAAGATGATAGCAATAGTTTTGAACAGGGGTGTCAAACTGGCGGCCCGCAGTCCAGATGTGTCACACGCACCTCCTCAGCTCCGCGGAGGGGGAAAGTGTTGCGAAATGTCACGTGATGGAAATGTGACACCGTGAGTTTGACACCCATGGTTTAGAAGCTGAAAGCAGCTGGGCCATAGTTTCTTAAGTATTAACACATGTGCTCTATTAGGTTCAGCTTAATAAAGGTATAAAGTTATGAATGGAAAAATATGCTTTCTGGAAGTGAAATATCACAGATATCCCCTAAAAAAGTCATCTAAAATCAGTTTGGAAATGTATGTCACCTACATTGAATTAAATAAAGGGAGAAATAATAGGGAGAAAATGATTGGTGATTAAAAACATTAGGGCAGTAATAAAAACACTATTACATATTGAAATTCTATTTTGTGCTGTCACAAAAATTATGTGGTATTTTGATTTTTTGTTTGCGTTAGTGTTAACTTTTCTCCATTGACAGGATTTCAATATTAGAAATATTTTACACGCTTAAGAAATTGATTATGTGTGTCCAAATTAAAAGCCTCTGCTCTTTATAATATTTATCAAAAGATATCCTCTTTCTATTATAAAAACTAATTGAGGCGGCCTACAATTTTAAAGCACAACAATAAATAAATCTAAAACTAAAAATATCTTCAAAAATAAGTTACATTGGATTAGTAGACTGACCAACAGCACCCAATGAGTTTTCGGTCTTTTCACTTCCAGGTTTTCATGAAGTTTTTTTATTTTGTTCTATCTAGTGTACAGTTAGCAAACCAAGTTGCTTAACAGTATTACACCATTCTTAACAGAATAATTAATGTAAGCAGGATATTAGTCCACTTTGTACTGAGTTTACTTTTGAACTTACCCATCATAGTTATGTATTCTGGAATAAAGAACAAGGCTGTTGAAATGAGTGGGCTTGCAGGACTTGTATTTTATTACAACATATTTTTAAATTAAATATTAGTTTAGGAAAAAGTGAAAAATAAGGAAAACAGATAGAGAAAAGTAAGAAAGGGGATGTATTGCCATAGCTATTCTAATTTGGGACATTGGATGCTCTTAATGTAAAACATGTTTCAAGTATGATATAGGACTAGACTGAGTCCGAGGGAGAGGTCAAATGCATCATAAGTCATCAGTCCCTGCGCGCTCACAAGAGGGCTAAGCCCAGCCCACTTTGAATGCCTTCTTATTCCCATGCATTTCCCTTGGCCGTTGGTACATCAGATTTTTGTAGGGAGCTTAAGCTTGCAATAGATCTTTATGCTCTTTTGAACTGCCTGAATCTCCTGATTTCCTTGGCATTTGACATATGCTGCTTTCTCCAAATTTTACTTAGAGTTAATTCTAATATATGGGATTTTAGTAGTTGTAATATTAGAATTAATGTTGTTGCATAACAGTAACATGTCAGCTCAGTCTGTTAGCTAACATAGAGCCTTGGTGGCACAGCAGACTAAAGTGCTGTTAAGTAGCATCAGCTGCCTGCAATTACTGCAAGTTCAAATCTCACCAGACTCAAGGTTGACTCAGTCTTCCATCCTTTCGAGGTAGGTAAAATGAGGACCCGGATTGTGGGGGCAATAAGCTGACTTTGTATAAAAAAGAACACCACTTTGGGGGGGGCGAAAGCCCTACTAAGCAGGTATATACAAAAGTATGAAGGCTATTGCTTAACGCATTGTAAGCCGCCCTGAGTCTCTGGAAAAAGGGGGCATATAAATCAAACCAATAAATAAATAAATAAATAAACTGCCCACCCAAAAATCATAAAGGCAAACAGGAGCCAGAGTGGCAGGGAGCCTCTGTGCTTTCCTATCTATAGCCTTCTTTTGCTTGTTGCTCTTCTTTTCAGTTTTTCAGCATAAAATTTTTATATCAATTTTTCATACACTGCAATTCCCTTAAAGCCAGTTACTTTTTATTTGGTATTCGGACATTTTTATTTTACGTTTATGGCTTTTAATTATTCTTGCTTTGTTGTATTTTACCCAAGCTCAAAATGTTAATAAATCAGTTTTATTTAAATTTCAGAAGCAGATCATTCTATTTGCTTTTATATGGAAATGATTGATGAGAAGAACATGCATCTTGTTTTAAATCTTTGGCCTGTATTACACTTGTGTTTTTAATATTAATAGCTATGGGATAAGAGCCCTGGTGGAGCAGTGATTAGAATGTACTGCAGACTCATTCATGGCTCACTCCAGGAGTTCGATTCTGAACGGCTCAAGGTTGACTCAACCTTCTAACCTTCTGAGGTCGGTAAAATGAGGGTTGTTGGGGGCAATATGCTGACTGTTAACTGCTTAGGAGAGGCCTGGTAAAACACTATGAAGTGGTATAGAAGTCTAAGTGCTATTGCTATTGCTATGGGATACACTTCTATAACCTAAATGTTAATTAAACTCTTAAACTGATACTTAGCTCTCAAAACTTGAGCCTCATGATTTTTTTTATAGTAGTAAGAATTTCTTGAAAGATAGATTTGTAGTTTTGTCAGAATAAAATTCCATGAAACTATACCATATGCATTGAAATTCAATTCTATAAACGAAAACTGTTATTTTGGAAATGATAAATGTTAACTTAAATGTAAAATATATGTGATATAGTGCATTTTAACTGTTTTAATTAAAATTAAAAAAAACATCAGAAAAATAGAAAAAAAAGGAGAGGAAAATATATTTTATATAGAGGAAGTCAGTAAGACCTTCATTAGTCCTTGATCATGCATAATAAGAATGATTAAACTTTCCATTATACTGTCAGAAAACAAATTAGGCAGAAGTATTTATATGTAATTGATCCAAGATGGTAACCCTGGGGTTGCACTGCATTTTCAGCATTGTATTTGCAGCATCTTTTGCTGGAAATATCAGTTGGGTAAAGGCATAGCTCTTAATATAAATTCCAAATGCTTGGTATACAGTTCAAGAGTATATTTCAATCTCTAAGCCATATTGTAAACAACATATTATCTATCGGTCTTATGGATATTAAACTAAAATGGGTAACATTGGGAGAAGCTTGTATCATAAGTGAATGTGTTCCCTCAACCACTCTGCACTTTCAGCATATTGAGTTTGACCGCTAACTTTTTGAAAACATTCTCTGAGGTGTCTAATAAATCTGAAAGTTGTTTTTTAAAATTGTTATAACATCACAAGAAACATATTTTGTATTCTTTTAAACCCCTACCTATTGAATTTGTTTCCACTTGTTATTCCAGAGTTGTTGCTCGTATCTACCTTAACTCTATTCATTAATTTTTCACAATTAAAGAAAGTGTAGTTGATACTATGCAAAAGATTTACATACTAACATTGACAATAATTTTGGAGTTTATATGTTGCTGGTGCATCTGGACCAAATTGTGAAATCAAGATAGACTTTAAGCATACTCCAGGGGCAATTTTTAGCACTCTAATCTGCTCTGACAGGAGAGTTGGATGAATTAAATACTTGTTTAGCAATAACCTGATCCAAAGATTGCCTGCTTTTTCATGACTTTTTCCCCAAAAGAATATTTACAATTTTCAAACTGGAGTTATCCTAAAAGAGAAATTAGTTAGGTAAATAAATGTCACCAATATGCTTCATCCCAGCATGTTCCCAAAAAAGTAGAATCAGCCACCCATAAACTACTGCCTTTTTAATATCTTTCAAGTACTTTTGGTTCAATTAACTATCCAGAGAGATACTACAGGAATTCAGTTAGTCCAGCATATAATGAGACCAAGACCAATTAAATGGGAGTAGACAGCACCTTGTTCAAGGAGACATATTTCTGGGCAGAACTTTCACTGTATACAATATTCTAGAGAAAGCAAGATGACTTTTCCAAATATTTAATGCCATATAAACATGAAATATCATAAAACATTTTAATGGAGGAGGACTGAACTATATGACATTTTAAGCACTGAAAGGGAATTCCAAAAGTTGCCTTTTATTTTAATAATGTTTATCTTAGAGCAAAGCCAAAATAACATAACACAAATTGTCTCTGAGACTATTTGCTGTGTCATATGATGAATTTTTTTTAATAGTTGGATGTAGTTAATCCTTATATTTTTGCTATTAAAATAAAATAAAATAAAATAAAATAAAATAAAAGCTAATTATAATCCCAGAATAAAAGTCTGCTGCTCATTTGTTTGCTTTGATGAACTACTGATGCTTGATAAATATTAATACTTTACAATAATTAATCAATGGAAAAAACAATATCAGCTATACTTACGTTTTGCTACTTCATTAAGTCCTCTGCTGTGTTCTTTGTGGCGGTACATTTCATATGCAACTGTTTCCCGTTTTGTATATTGTTCTTAAGACTGATTAGGTCACACTCCCCCTTTATAGAGATGAGGGCATTTCCTCTCTCTCTAAACCTGAAGTAACTAGTTGTAAAAAAATTCAGGTTAACACATCCCAGATAAAATAGTAGCCTTTGTAGACGTAAGAAATGCAGAGAGAAGGAGCAGAATAAAGAACAGTTTCGCAAAATAAGGTGAAAGTATATAATGTTCAGTGTGTGTTGCTGCTGTTGCAAGCATTGTGAGCTTTTCTCTGATGTGAGAGAGATTTTTTCCCAGTCCCAATCTTACAGTGGTAGTATCTTTTGAAAACTAAAGATCAAACTTAGGTGTAATTGGGACATTTGTGTGTTTCGTTTTAATATACCCTGTCCATTCGCATTTCAAATTTCGCATTTCAGCTGACAGTTTTTCTTGAGATTTTTCTCACTTCCTGCTCATTGTTGGGGGGGAGGGGAGTGTTGAGTGTCCCTTCCTATGGACCAGTTGTATTTTTAAACTAAACTCTGCATTTCCCATTTGTATGGAATTATATATGAATGACACATATTTCTAGGCTATATTACCAAAGGCTATTGATGGAAAAAATGTTATGTTAATGCAGAATAGTTAATTGTATAGTTGGGCAAAGATAAGACACAAAGTCAGTTCAGGAGAGACCAAAAGAAGTATGCTGCAACGAGAATGAAAATACCTAAAATGCAGCCACTGCAATATAGTCTAGTTTCCAGGAAAGACAATGGTAAGTCACTTCTATAGTTTTGGGGGTGGGGAGGAAACCACCTCTATAGAAATGGAATTGATGGCATCCATGAAACCAGCAGAAGTTATAAGCTCAATTTGTTTCTTTGCTGTATTCTGTAATATGGAAAGGGGAAGATACGTGAATAGTTTTAGCTTTATCATTCAGTAAGTTTAGTTTAGTTTTTTTTAGTTTTATTAAATTTGTATACCGCCCTACTCCCGAAGGACTCAGGGCGCTGAACAGGCACAAGATAAAATACAGAAATACAAAAGTTAAGAACAATTTAAAACCAAATTAAATAATATTGGCCCACAACAATTAAAATCCCAATAAATTTAAAACAAATTAAAATTTAAAATTTAAAAGAAAGGGGAGAAAAATTAGGCCAGGCCGGCTTGCTGGAATAAGAGGGTCTTAAGAGCACGGCGGAAGGTGCGCAGATCCGGGATCCTCCGTATCTCCGGGGGGAGCTTGTTCCAGATAGTAGGTGCCCCCACAGAGAAGGCCCTCCCCCTGGGGGCCGCCAGTCGACACTGCTTGGCTGATGGCACCCGGAGGAGACCCTCTCTATGAGAGCGTACCGGCCAGTGGGAGGCTATTTGTGGTAGTAGGTGGTCCCATAAATAATCAGGTCCTAAGCCATGGAGCGCTTTAAAGGTGTCACCAAAACCTTGAAGCGCACACGGAAGACCACCGGGAGCCAATGCAGCTCGCGCAGGAGAGGTGTTACACGGGAGCGCCATGTTGCTCCCGTAACCACCCGCGCGGCCGCACTCTGCGCCAGTTGGAGCCTCCGCGTGCTCCTCAAGGAGAGCCCCATGTAGAGAGCATTAGAATAGTCCAAGTATTTTGTTCAATGAAATTTGAGATTTTGTGAGACAAGGACAATAATTCTTTTCTATTGAACTGTTACATCAAGTTTCACTTGTGGCCTTGGATACGAAATAAAGAAATAAATGATATTGTGTTTTTGTGTTTTTGTCAAGGCTTATTCAGATCAAATCAGATCAAATCAAATATTTATTATGGGCACAGGCCAGAATACGTCAGAGTTCCAAATAACACTCCCAACAAAAGAAAACTCAGAGGTTTGAGTTTGAGTTTTCTCAAAGTTACATTTCATTAGAGATGTCATATTGGCACATCTGGGGAAACCCGAATCAGAAAACTTCCAGGTTTTCCCCACCCAAACGAAAGTTCAAGTCCCTGCCCAATACCCACATGTCCATCACATGGTCCAATCCAAGCACCGTCCCAACTGGAGCTGCCTCCCAGTTCCAGCCGTCCAGGTGCAAGGCCAGATGACCTTGACTGTCTGAGAAAGGAATGTTGTTATTACTATATATCACCCTGGTTCCATACAATCCCCCCTCCCTGTTTCCCACAGTAGGAAGTGTGGCAGGCATGAAGATCCAATGAAAAAGATGGCTTCCAGGCCTGACACAAGGTTTAGAATACTGAATTTCAGTGAGACTCCCCAGCAGTGCACTTCAGTTAAACAATGAGGATAGAAAAGCATTATACATATTGTGAAACATAAAAAATAACTCTTAAATAACAGTTTCCAATATGATGGGTTTGTATATTTTTTTGGAAGTACAATGGTATGTATATAATTAGGCATATTGGGCAAAGATTTGTCTACATATTTTTATCAGCAGTGTGGTACTCTTGGCAACACAATAACTACCAGAGCCCTCAACAACTTGATATTAATTAATATTTTTTAAATTTAGGAAATTGAACTTTTTAATGTTCCAATTTCCTGCATGTCCCTGACTCTGACAAAATCCCAGAACATTTTTCAGATGAAAAGGACCAGCTAGAGTTTTGTTGCTCGCTAGCCACCAGGCACTAAAAGAAAAGAAATCTAATTAATCTGGAAAAATGTATGAGTAGTCTTGTTTGCCGGGTATATATAACTGAGTCAAAGAAAGAGGTGGTGTGATATATGAACTGCTACATTTATTAACAAGTTTGAGGGGTTAGTTTTAACCCATAAGCGGTTTAGGGTTGGTGGAACTAAACCTTTGTTAGTGAGTTGTGTTATGTAAATATGGATAAGAGGGTTAAATCTAATGTTGACAGATAAAATCATAGATTGACTCACAAAAAGAGGATTGCTGTACCAACACTGTTTCTTTTCCATATTACTTTTCATTGCCCCATGGATTGGGAAATAAGGGCAGAAGGTTAGAAAAATAGTAAGCCACCTCTTCTCTATTGGCAGGCCACTGTGTTGTTGTTTTCTAAATGGTCCATGAAAACCAACAATGGTGGGAAGTGACAGATTTTAATTGCTTCTGTTTGACCAATGTCATGTACTAGGTCCCCTCCAGGATCCTTCCCCCTAGTGGAGGAAGAGAAATGTTACCTCATTCCTGATTGGCTAAGCCGTTTGACAGCTAGTATAAAAGAGCTGTCAAACAAACTCAATTGCTCTTGTTGTGACTGTTGCTGGAATATTAGCATCTTAGAATAAATGTTACCTATTAGCTCGCGTCTCACCTCAGTCATTGCAAACCCCTTCCAGGATTGAATTTAACACTGGCGATGAAGGTGGGATCGCCAATCTGAGGTAACAGACAAAATAGAGCTGAGTTACTAAGAGCTGTCACTGGGCGAACATTCTGTCAGAAGCCATGAGAAGTTGCACGGCAACAGTCACACACAGCGAATGAGTCCCCAATTAATTGGCGGGAATGGTGTCCTCACAGAATTTCCCTCCATTCAACCTTACTACCAAATCGTGGGAAGCTTACGTGGCGAGATTTGACTGTTTCCTCATTGCCAACGTCTACACAAATCTGTCAAGCAATTGTAAACTAGCATATTTCCTGAGTTTCTGCAGTACAGAAATGTTTGATACTGCCATGACGCTAATGGCTCCCAAATCAATCCATTCAGGGATGTGGGATGAATTCATGAATAAGCCGAGGAAGCATTATGCCCCTGTGCCCCCTAGAATAGCTTGCCGCCAGCACTTCTACCACTGAGATCAGGCCTCGGGGGAGTCTATTAATCAATATGTGGCAGCTCTGAGGAGAGCAGCGCGACACTGCGAGTTCGTCAATCTAGACGACTATCTCCTTGACAGACTGGTGAGCGGCACACGAGATGAACACCTCAAACGGAGATTAATAGCCAACCATGAACTCACATTCCAAATGGCATTAGATGAGGTGTGTGCCGCAGAACTAGCCACACTGTCATTAGCTGAGCTGCCTCGGGGACATAGCCTGCCAATACTGAAGGAGATGGCCATTTCAGTGAGACCGAATTTTTTGATTTGGACAATGATTTGGACGTCAATCGTCTTAAAGAGACGAAGAAGTACAATTGGGCCGGTTACACCAAGCCTGCTAAAACTGGTTATCTGAGTTGCGGAGGGAATCACCCGAGAACCTCCTGCAAATTCAAGGGTGCTATTTGCCACTGCTGCGGCCACTGGGGTCATATTGCTAGAGTGTGCTGGTCAGCGCAGCCCCAAAGTATGCCTCAATCTCAACAAAATTCAGAGAAGTAGAAACCATATGGTTCCAGCTCCCTCGGTTAAGTATGTTATGTAGACACTTCTACTAATTTCTCTAAGCTCTAAATAAGTTCACATTTTCCCAGCCATTACACCAGGGTATGGGCTCAAGTCAGATGAACAAGTATGCAGACATAGCTCCAATCAAAGATTTCCCACAAGACCAGTTTGACAATAGAAATATTCCTATAGAGCAGACCTAAACAACCAATGGCCCACAGGATGCATATGGCAGCCCAGAGGTTGTCAACCTTGTGAGATAGTCCACTTCCAGAAGTCGTAGCCCTAATGTTATTACAGATGACATTAACAGAATCTTGCAAGTCTGAAACTACACCTCTCCCCCAAGAAACTGGGGAGGCCTCCTTTGAGATGTTTGCCATGCCCCTGTTCTATCTGGGGACTCAGATATCACTTATCTGACTAATGTCTAATCTACGGATCTTCTCTTGTCTTCCAAGGTCATCCCACCTACTATTACACCACTAAAAACTAACCAATCAATCCACTGCCATCAAACATCTGGTAGGAAGGATCTGCTAATTCTTTGCAGTTTCTTCCACCACAAAAGATATGCTGCCAAATACTTTCAGGTCTAATGGATACTGCTAGCAGCTGTTGCTGCACTGGTAGTCTCCAAACAATTGATCAGCACAGCAACTATTCCTCTGTGACCCACAATTATTTTTGAGATATAAACCTGGCCTTTCCCCATGTATGAGTTTTGTTGGCCTGTGGTAGAGTGATCTCTCAGGAAGAGAATGGTCAGCTACAAAAGATCAGGAAATGTAAGTCTGCGGATATGTGACAAGAAGTGTGACAAATAAGAAGAACTGGCTTCCCCGGGTTTCTTTTCCTCATTTTTGGTAGCAGCTTCTCCAGCTTCTTACAATGAAGATGCCAGGAATCATAGATCAACAAAAGACATTAGCCTTTTGTGATGCTGGGGAATGTATTAATGAGAAAGATCTAAGAAATCTGTTTTTATATTTGCTGCACATTTTTGTTTGTGTGAAGCAAGAGGGAAAGAGATAAAAAGGTTATTTTGATGTTAAAGTAGAATAAGAATGCTGTGGTGTTAAAAAGGCTATCAGAATCAACAATCAGTCAGTGGAACTTTCCCCTCATTAAGATGAAGGGCTGGGGAAAACTGCCTTTTTTAATCTTGTTGAATATACTTGACATTTAAAACTTATGAAATATCTGAAATTATCTATTATGCAGAAACAAAAATAAATTAAAATTATTGTCTTAATTCAACACAGTACAGAGAAGAGGAAAAGATAGGGTTTAAAGGCTTTCTAATGTACTGTAGTAGCAAATCATTGTTAGTTCACATATCAAACTAAGCCTTAATATATAACTTAGCAGTACTTCCATAATACGCTAACCAAATTGCTTGGGTTTATGCAACCTACTGAACCAAAGCTTGACCCAAATTGGTTAAATATGAAAGCATCAGGCTAGAGGGAGATTGAAGCCAACATATGTACAAGGATGTGGTAGGGCTGGGATACCATGAGATGTGATATTAGCATTACTGACTCACTGGGTGAGTCACCCAGTGTTATTGTACATAAGATGGATGGCCATATAAGTATTTTAAATAAATAGACAGAATACATTGAGAAATAAACTTAATAAGCCAAGCATATTTAAAGCAAATGTGTTGTGCAGATTCAAGTCAATATCTCAGTCAATACCTGCCATAATGTTACATTATATCATATGTCTGTAATAAATTTACTGTTCTTCACAGTAATTCATTAATATTTTGATGACACTTCTTATTAAGGATAGTTTTACCTTCACTCTAAAGATGTACTTATTCTTGGTTTTTTTTAAAAAAAAAAGCATGGCAAAAGTTGATTTCTTAATTTAATATAATTAATTTTAGTTTGTTGAATTACGCATGTCTGAATTGTAGCTTTCTGCATCTGTTTGAGAGGATATTTTAGTATTCTGTCAACACAATCAGAGTATTTGTAGGAACAGAAATGTCCTTGAAAATAGCTGGCAAAAAATACTTATTTAAAGAAGCATTTGTGGATTATGTTTGAGTTCAGATGGATGCTGAGATTTTTGAGACGCAATTGCCTTCAACTTGAATTTGAAATATTGAATAATTAAAAGAAAATACCATTTGCACTGATTTTCATTGATTTCTTGCAATATTTACTTGTGTGTCAAAGTAGCAGCTCAATATAAATTATCATTTGTGGAGTCACTGGTGGTCTCTGACTTTGGTACTTTGGTTGTTGCTTGCAGACATTTTGTTATCCAACTAGGTAACATCATCAGTGCATCCGAAGGACTCCACAGTTCAAGCCTAAACTACCATGTTTCCCCGAAAATAAGACCCTGTCTTATATTTTTTTGAACCCTGAAATAAGCGCTTGGCCTTATGGCCATGTGCTCAAAAGCCCAATTGGGCTTATTATCAGGAGATGTCTTATTTTGGGGAAAACAGGGTATCTATTGTATATTCTCTTCTCTTAAAACTATCGTTTGTATACAGTATTCAAATGTATATTTCTTCTCCTGCTTTTATAAAACTGAATACTTTCTAGACTATTTATATGTATAAATCACTCCTAATATTTGTCAAGAGTGATCAAGAAGAATAGATCTTGCAGAAGATAAGACAGAGATGTTATTCCTACCAAGTGATTGAGTATCAAATGAAGGAAGAAGGAACTCATTTTCTAGACTTTACTCATTGAGGAAAGCATTTACTGTAATTATGGCTTATTGTATGGTTTAAGTAAGAAGCAGGCAAAGAGCCCTCTTATTCTGAGTGCATTTAATTTTAAATTAAAAACTAATTTAAACAAAAAAAAGTGATATTAAAATATGTAAACCTGGATACAGTATTTAATACTTTAAAATGTACTAAGATGCATTTGATTAATCAAAATAATTAAGGAAGAGAGTTAATATTTTCTGTAAGAATTATGTTGATATTCCATTTTTGCATATATTTTGTCTCAACAGCTTGGGGCCTGTATTTGCTCTTTTTGTTCCATTTTATACCTCCATTCCAAGAGTGCAAGTGACACAAATTCTAGGACAATTTTCCATCACAAACAAGACGCTGGTTTATATATTGGGTTTGCAGGTTTGTATGTGTTAATTTGTTTTGCCTTGATTTAGCAGTTCTGCACTTTCCATTTGTACCTGCTATTTTCTAGAAACTTCTGGAACAATAATATTTGTCCTAAAAATTCCAAAACTATTTTTTAAAAATGCACTAAACACTGTAGCATAAATCTGTAGATGTGCAGTAAATTGATAGCAATAGCAATAGAAGCTTAGTGATCATATTCAATACATACATATATTGTCTGTGAGTGAAAGGTAAACTTTAATACATCCCATAGCTTTACCCCACTTTTAATTGCTAGCAATGGGGAAACCAACCTTCAGTGTGCTTTTAATATTTTATTTTGTGATAGATTTTGGTTAGACTTTTTGTTGGACTTTGGTTCAAAATTTCCTGTAGAACTCTAACTTCCATCCTAGCCTAGTGAATTCATTTGTTTATTATTTATTCCCTTATTGATAATGTGTTATCTACACTTCTATTTTTTAAAAACATACCTGAGGGAATATTTTATGTTGGGGGCATGCCTGGTTTGGTAAATACTAGGATCTTAATCTTCTGTTTCTTCCATTTTTAAATAATTCTATAACACTTAGGTAATCAGTTTGACAGATAGCTACTTCAATAATAAAACTATGGCTTTTCATTGGTAACCAAGCTTTCCACTCAGGCTATTAATATGGTTTTAGTCTGGATGATACTTTTACACTTCCCTAAATATTCAGACCAGATAAAGAATACGTTTTGTAACTCCTGTTACTTTGATGAAGCATTTCCATCTTACAGCAAAGACAGAGCAACTCTTGACATTTTTCTAGATATTATCATAGCTTCACTTTCTTTGCTTTGCTCTCCAATCTTATCATAACAAGCTGATAGGTGCCGTTAAATAATCGCTCTTTCATTCTGCAGGCAATTGAGATCATGCTAAATTATTATCTCTCTTGCAGAATAATTAAATATCTGATATATGATAAATTTTCAGATTGCTGAATTTTTTTGATAAAACAATGTTCAAACTTATAAAATATTATTAACCCTATGTTATGCATTTCAAGTTTTTTTTTTTTTAAGGAAGATGTACACAATATAGCTTGGATTTTGAGGGTAGAGTGCAAAGTGATAAACAACCCTTCCTAATTCTCTTCTGGTAACCTGAAAAATGCAGTTGACCATTTTTAGTTTGTTACATGCTCATTTTCAGTTCTTTTTGCAGCAATGACAGGGAGAAATAAATAGTTGCTTCATTGCATGTGGGATAGATAGACAGACATCTCTATTTAGTATTGCTCTATTTGATGTAACCATCATAGTATAAACTAAGTTAAAATAAATTTGTGATCAAGGATATAGTTCTTAGTATTTTTGTTGCCTGATTTGTTTTTAAAAGCTGGTTTTTTCCCCTTGAATATGTAGATGGCTAATGAAAAACAAAAGCATTTTTTTACTTGTTTACGGTAGAAGTTGGCTTTCATAATAGATTCTGGAGCAAATAATTTTATTAAATCAAACTGAATTTTACAATTTAAAAAAACTTAGCAAACCCTAGAAATGTTCTGCTCTTTTTGTTCCACTTTTCCATTCAGCCTTATTCAGATTTCATTCAGCCTTCATTCAGATTGTTCTAAACTCATGACAACATTTAAATAAATACTTGAGCCCCTTTTGTTGCACAAAAACAGAAATGTAATTTATGATATTCTCTCCTCTACTGTATTTGAATTAGTGTTGAAATAATATTAGTGTAAGGACTGTGCAATCTAAATTCCATTTTAAATTACACACTTTTTGTTTTATAGCTTTTAACCTCTGGGTCTTACATTTGGATTGTAGCCTTAAGTGGGCTGGTAAGTATAATTATTTTAATTACTGGTTTGATACTTTTCATTAAAGTATAATAAAGCATCTATGGGATGTGTTTTTTCTTTAATTCTTACTTCTCTGTATTTTTTTCTTCTTTCATATTTACATCTTTTGCCAAAATCAGTTTGCTTTAGGAATATGCATGAACAGCAGTTTCTTTGAATCTGGAACAGTCTACTAACAATCCTTCCTACAATTACTCATGTCCTGATCACCTCAAGGCTTGACTTCTGCAATGCACTGCCCTTGAACCACACTTGAAAGCTTCAAATGGTCCGGAACAAAGTTCTGTGGGCATGATGGGCATACTTTGGTAAACCATTTCCTTTGTGAGCTGCATTGGTTGCCTTTTTGTTTTGGAGTAGAATTCAAGGTATTGTTCATAATCTATAACGCCCTTCATGGTATAGAACCTGGTTACCCAAGACTGCCTATCTCCCATACTATCTGCCTAGCCTACTAGCCCAGCTCCTGGGCCATGGCTCACTACTGAGCTGTAGCATATTCAGAATTGAGCTGCTTGAGTGGCTGATCGGAGCATACATGTAGCTCAACTTGTGGAAGCAGCAGGCTGGCGGGCAATCACGTATGTGCACACTGACCTGTTGCTCACACAAGTTGAGCTCTGTGCCTATGCACACGGATAGGGTTGGTATGCTCCATCTTTGATTAAACAATGACATCTGTTGGATCCCAAAAGTGCATCTTCTCTGTAGCAGTATCTGTGCTCAGGAATGAGGTTCCTCCAAAATCTGGACATCTCTCAACCTACTAATGTTTTGAGGGGCATTGAAGACTTTGCGCTTTGCCCGGGTCCTAAGTAAACATGAGTGAAACCTCCTTTGGACTGCATTGGGTTATTTCTTTTTTTTTTCTTCATTTCTTTGTCACACTTTGTCATGCTTTCCATCTTCACACATTTTTGTCTTTTGTGCTTTTTTCCCCTTTGCTTTTAACACTGAAACTGCCCAGAATTGTTGGGAGTTGGGTAGCATATACCTTTAATAAAGTACATAAATAATAAAATAAATGTTCTAAATTTTCTGCTGAACTATGGCTGGAAAATCCCCTTGAATGACTCTAAATTTTGCCATGTTTCATTGATGCAATTGTAGCAAATGTTTTTCCTAGCCCCATTGTTATTTTCACAGATCATATGAGTGGATCATTTTCCTGGTCACTGGAAACTTTATCACAAGATCCACAGAATATTTTGCTCTTTTCTGGTGTGTCTATCTAATTCTTCAGTAAAGTCCTAAGGCAACTTTCCTATCCAAGTATATAAACTAAAGGGCAGAATACTTAAAATTCAGACTAAAAATAGACTATAAAACAATTTAAAGTTTCATAACAGAGGTAATGAAATCAAATAATTTTATTGAAAAATTAAAGAAGTTTAATGAAATGTAAGAAATTTATTTTATAAGGAAGACCTCACAAAAGCCATGTGTTCCTCTTGATTAAAATATCTGTCTACAAAGGAAAGTGCCTGTTTAAACACATACACCCACAAGTTTTATTTTGGGCAATATAAAACAATGTTAAGGAAGAGGAAAGTTTTGATTTGTGAATCTGTTTATATAATATTTATAATAGGCATTACTTGTTCAGTGTTCTCAGCTTTGATTAATTATATATATATATATATATATATATATATATATATATATATATATATTTTTTTTTTAATCTTTGTTTACATTTTATTTTACATTTTTAACATAAACAATTAACAAAACAATATTTAAATTTAAAGTAAAAAATAGAAACAAAAGAAGAAAAAACAACTCCCAAAAGACTATAAAGAAAAACAAAGAACCCCAAACCCTACATATTGTATTTATCAATACAGGTAGTCTTCAACTTACAAGTGGTTGCTTAACAACCATTTGAAGTTACAACAGACTTAGAAAAAGTTTATGACCCTTGAAGTTATGAGTGCCACACCCGACAGAATCATTTGATTGCATTTCAGGAATTTGGCAACATGTTTGCACTTAAAACTGCCAAGTATTTTGCGAGCATTTGATTGGCATTTCAAATCTTCTCTGCTGGTTTCCTCAGAAAATCCTTGGGAAAGGAGGCAGAAAAGTTTGCAAGCTGTTGCCACCTGCTAAACACCTCCCTTATGTGCATGGGGGTGAGGGATTTCTGCGGCAGGCTGGAAAAATTAAGCTCAGATTCCATGCGCAGAAGGGAATTTCAGCACTGGGCTGGAGAAAAGAAATGCAACTGTTTGTCATCCAGGCTTTCTTTTTTGCTGCCAAGTTCTGGAGTTTCTCCGGGCTCCTCTATGTGTAGAAAGGAACTTCTGCACTGGGCTGGAGAAAAGAAGCTTACAACCTGAAGATCAGCCTTTCTTGCCTTCAGAAACACAGTGTTGGTTAGCTTTCTACTCAGAAAAAAAATTAGCAAATGCAAAGTTTCTGAATGGTAGAAAGGCTAGTGCCTGGAGGAGAGGAAAATTTCTGTGGCAGATGCGGAAGTTCAGATCTCAAAATCTGAGCTTCCTTTTTCCATCTCAGTGTAGGAGTTCCCTTCACATATAGAGGAGAGGAGAAGGCCTGCAATGGACTGGAGAAACAAAATTTAGGCCTTAGGGATTTGAGCTTCTCTTCTTATAGCAGGCAGGTCTTTCACTCTGTCCATTTAATGACCCATGCAGTCATTTAACGACCACAGCTGGGAATGAGATTGCAGTCGTTGAGTGAAATAGTTATGTGGGTATTTTGCTTAACAATTGCAATGACTTATGATCCAGATTCTTGGTCTAATTGTGGTTGTAAGTTGAGGACCACTTGTAGTCACTGGTTTACTAATAAATACACTAATATAACCAATACAAAGTATTAACTGTAAAATATCACAGTATCTTTGCCGTACTAACATATATTGCTGTATCTTTTGATTAATAGAAAATACTGCCTTTTCCCAAAATGTGGAATTGTGGATCTGTGGTGGAACCACCAGATAAAAGGGAGGGGATTCTGCCAGGGGAAATAAAAAAAACATTCCAGTTTAGAGTCAGTTCAGAGGAGGAAATGTCTGAGATCAAATCCTTAGGTCTATATCTGCAGGCTGTCTGTCAAAATTCTTGTAATATAAGTAATTAATAATAAAGTATCTGTTTGGGCCTATCCACAGGTGGATTCTGGTTGATTGCATCTGACAAGATCACAAATTTCTGGTCTGGAATAATATCACTTTCCAATTTGTTAAACAGACTTTTAGCCACTCCTATGCTTGATAGAACCATAATTCAGTTTCCAATGAGATATATTCCAAAGTGTTGCTATATAGTTCAACATCACAATACCTCTTCTTTCAAAAACAGTCTCTGGGGAGTCCAATGCTGCCTAAATACAGTTTTTGATGAAAATTCATGATAGCTGCTGAGACTACATTCCAGCAGACCCGCGATGATATAAATGACTATTGCATTGATGAGATGGGAGGCATCTCATCATTTATTTAGTAAATTTATTTATTTATTTATTTAGTAAAATAAATAAATCAGATCTCCTCAATTCTGTGCCTTTCACATTAATTTACTTAATCTGCAGCCAATTTAGTCATTGAGATTATGGGATTTGAAACCCAACTCATCTACCAAACATGAAGTCAGGAAAGCTGATGTTGCATAGACATTATATATAATCAAGGGCTTGGATAATTTTATTTAGCTACTTGCCTGAGGAAATGTCTATGGGGACTCTCAGTCATCCAGGTCATCGTTCTCCCCAAGGAAACAAGCATTAAAAGGCATGTATTTTGTAAGTTCACATACCAATTTTCGTAACTGAAAATTTCTGAAAAATCATATACATACACACTGGCTGCAATTTTCTTTTTGGCAGCATTGTTTCAAACATAACATGGTAAAATGTCTGTGGAGATTGCTAATGAACAGAAAATGCAGCATGACAGTAGCTGTGGTTGCTTGCCTCTATTTAGAATGCGTATCTTTTCTAAGTCACCTTCCTTTTAGTAAATTCCTTCACTTAAATAGAGTGGATTTTTATAAAAAATCCAGACTGGGGTCTTTCCCAGAATGTGGGAAAGTCCCTCATCTGCCGTAGTCATAATCTTCAATTTGAGTAAAATAGACTTGCAGTTTACTGTTTTTAGTTCAGCAACTACCTCCTCTATTCTCCTGATCATAACTATAATTAAAGGATTATAATTATAATTGAAAGCACTCCTACTTTTGACAAACAATTTGGGGTTATAGTTTCTTTTATGACAATCATTTTTCATCACTGTACTGAATTGCTCTCTCTCTTTACTTCCCCTTACATGTTATATAAAGCTTTCTTTAAAATAAATATGCAGTTTGCACATGTCAGCAAATGCAAAAAAAACTGCAATCTCTGTTTGGTTTTCGGTTAACATGTTGTTGTTGCCATGCAACCATTGAGGGGAGGTAAAGAAACAAGAGGAATTGGTGGGGCAGGATCTCATATATATTTAAAGGAGCAAATGGTATAAAATATCAGGATTTGGAAATGTAAAAAGGTTTTGTGACAAAGGAGTAATGCCATTCAGTGAAGACCAACCATGGCCCTGACATTAATTTTTTAATAATAATATTTTAATCTACAGTATATACCATAGAGGTTTTCAGACTTTGGATTTGTACAAGCAAAGTGGGGGCAAAACTCAGGATTCTGACAATGCTAATGTTTTACCTGAGTAAATCTGATCAGATTATTTTTAAAATTGTTTTGAGATGATCATAGTTCTCCACAATTTTAAAATTCCCAAGATAGGGACTACATCCATTTCCCCAACAAAATTTAGGAATCTCATGCCATCAAAGCTTTCCAAAATGTATTCAGATAAAAAGAGCAGGAAAATGGAAGCAGATAAGGTGAAATTAGTTTTTTAGGGGATGGGGACAGTGATATATAGATTCTCACACTGGTATGGTACAATAGTTATGGTGAGTTCTAGTAAACTGTGCCCTGCATGGAAAAATATTTGT